TGCTGTGAGCTGTGAAGCCATGGCACTCTACCCAGGGGGATAGCTTGAGGCTCTGTCTCAAAAATAAATAAATAAATAAATAAATAAGAGATGAACAAAGACAGGCTCAGTGCCTGTGGCTCAAGCTGCTAAGGCACCAGCCACATACACCTGAGCTGGTGGGTTTGAATCCAGCCCAGGCCCGTCAAACAACAATGATGGCTGCAACCAAAAATAGCCTGGCATTATGGCACGTGCCTGTGGTCCCAGCTACTTGGGAGGCTGAGGCTAGAGAATCACTTGAGCCAGGAGTTGGAGGTTACTGTGAGCTATGATGCTACGGCACTCTACCCAGGGTGACAGCTTAGCTCTGTCTCAAAAAAAAAAAAAAAGAACAAAAACATATTAATAAAAATAAAAGGATTTAGCTGGGCACAGTGACTCACACCTGTAATCCCAGCACTGTGGGAGACTGAGGAGGGAGAATTGCTTGAGCTCAAGAGTTGGAGATTTGCCTGAGCGATAGTGAGACCCCAACTCCTAAAAAAATGAAGAACCCAGCCAGGTGCCCCAATGAACGCCTGTAATCCCAGCAGCTTCCTGAGGCTGAGGCAGCAGGATGCCTACAGCCTGAGTCTGAAGTTGCGGTGAGCTATGATGACGCCATTGCCCTCTGCTCAGGGCACAGAGTAGGACTCTGTCTCAACAACAACAAAAAAGGATTTCTTCTATAAAATTTGGATTTAGGGGTGGCGCCTGTGGCTCAAGGGAGTCGGGCGCTGGCCTCATATGCCGGAGATAGCAGGTTCAAACCCAGTCCAGGTCAAAAACTGCAAAAAATAAATAAATAAATAAATAAAATAAAATTTGGATTTAGTCAAAAGGCTGCACTTAAGGACCTAGAAGGCCAGATGGACCCCACTCCTGTTTTGGATAATTTGTGGCACCTTCTCCATCAGTACTTGCTGTTTCACCTTGCACTTTCATGTTATGGAGACAGCTTTTCTCCTTATACCTCATGAACAAACTTCTTCTAGCTGCCACTTTTCTTCTGTAGCTTCTTCACCTTTCCTGGCTTTTGAGAGAGCCTTGCTCTAGGTTAGGCTTTGGCTTCAGGCGATGTGGCTGGTTTCATCTTCTATCCAGATCACTCAAACTTTCTACATGCCAGCAATAAAGCTGTTTTGCTCTCTTATCATTTGTGTGTTTGCTGGAGTAGCACTTTTAATTTTGTTCAAGAACTTTGTATTCACAATTTGGCTAACTGGTGTAAGAGGCCTACCTTTTGGCCTTTCTCAGCTTTCAATGTACCTTTCTCTCTAAGCTTAATTATTTCTAGCTTTTGATTTAAAGTGAGAGATCTGTAACTCTTCCTTTCACTTGAACACTTACAGACTATTATAGGGTTATTAGTTGGCCTAATTTTAATACTGATGTGCCTCATGGAATAGGGAGACCCAAGGAGAGGGAGATAAGGGAATGGTGGTCATCAGAGCAGTCAGAACACATTAAGTTTGCTATCTTATGTGGGTACAGTGTGTGGCACCCCAAAACAATTGTAATAGTAACATCAAAGATCACAGATCACCATAACAGATACAATAATAATGAAAAGTTTGAATTATCAAAATGTGACACAGAGACATGAAGTGAGCACATGCTATTAGAAAACTGATGCTGGCTCAGCGCCTATAGCTCAACCGGCTAAGGCGCCAGCCATGTACACCTAAGGTGGCGGGTTTGAATCCTCAGCCCAGACCCACCAAACAACAATGATGGCTGCAACCAAAAAATAGCCGGGCGTTGTGGCGGGCGCCTGTGGTCCCAGCTACTTGGGAGGCTGAGGCAGGAGACTCGC